TTTTAGGGGAAGGGGTCTCGGGACGTGCGAACCATGGGTAAGCCACCCATCAAATAGAAAAAATTGTAAATTAAGACAAAGTGTATAAATTTATTGTAGGTTTGTCAAAAATCCAGCCGTCCAGGTCCTGGGAAGATATGTTATTCCACATTGCTGAGAGTATATACGGATACATTTAGTTAGAAATATCGCAGAAAAAAGAATTAATTGCACCACCATGTAACGCACGTTCGTCCGTCACGTGATGAACTCGCTCGACTGTTACCTTAGCTTCGTAGTGATTTCTGGATTGAATTATTATAACAACGCCACCGTTATCGATGTACAAACAGTAAATTATAAGGGACGTTTGAGTAGGCGGCATTTTGTTCGACTTATAAAGCGACTTTGAGAACTAAGCTAACCATTGTTATACCGCAAGTCATCTTATTTGGAAGAAGCTACTTCTGCGCTCTCCACACGGCAAGGGGCAGGTGACCCGGGGTGAAAGTTTGGTTGGCGCAAAACAAGAGTGGCAAGTGTTGCTGTTATCACGCACATGGTTCGTAGGTCAAATCTTCTTTTTCTTTTCCTTCAACGTTTGTCACACAATGTAGTTGCGTCACAGTGTCCGCTTTGCTGTTGTTGACGCCACTTCTCCTATTCAATGCTTGGTCAGGATGGAGGCCAACTATCGTCAGGCTCTGCAGCAGTGTGTCGAGCCACCGCTGCTTCGGGCGTCCCTAGGCCGCTTTCCTGGCACGTCAAGTTCGAGACCGATCTTACGGACACTGTCATCATTAGCGCGAAGAACGTGACCGTACCACCTCAGGCGAGCTTCGCGCATCTTATCAGCGATGGGAGCCACACCGAACCGCTTTCTGATGGTATCGTTGCGAACGTGGTCCAAACGCGTGACTGTCCAGCACAACATTTTCGTCTGCTTGGAGCTCGTCTCCATTACGACGAGACGAGCTTCAACTTCTTTAGCCGTGGATCAGCACTCAGCACCAGGGTCAACCCTGCGTTGCGCAAATTCCAAATTTTTACGACCCCCTTCCTTTTCGGAGGGTATCGGTACGACCCCCCCCCCGTATTAACTATCATGTCTTTCACATAATTTAATGCTCATCATTGATGTATGGGCAGTCACCAACATGGAGAAGTGGTGGACCGTGGTCAATCCGCGCGCTGTCTCGCTCAGAGGAGGGAATCGAGGCAAATGAAGTTTTATTCATTAAATAGAAGGAATTTCCAAATTTTTGCGTAAACCAATACATTAAAGATTTCTACTTTCAGAAACCTACCAAGTTTTTTTTCGATCTCTCAATTTTCCTTCTTTTATAATCTGAAAAACTAAACCTTGTAGCAATTACGTTGCAATACAAACCCCTCCATTCAGAAGGTTATATTTTTCTTCAGAAGCGGTTCATGAAATCGGACACCAAAATTTTGAAATATAAATAGTTTTCTTCCTGAGGAGTATTTGAAATGTTGTGGATGTTCAATATTTCAAAAAATCGTCCCGTTGTTCCGTTTTCTGTGCACACGCGAGTTTTTGACATTCAAACATTCATAACTTTCTTCATAATCAACTTTTTGCAAATGTCTAAGGCTAATTAGAAACTAGAAGATTAGCGCTTTCATACAAGCACCTGACTTTTTTCCAACGATTCACTTCTCTAAAAAATGTCCAGTGTTGCCTCTTTTTGGCTGGTTTGTGGTCGATTTAGTTTGAGAAGGCGCAGTTCGACGTTCAACGTGGGCATAAACTTTTCTTAATATACTTTTTGCAGATTGTCTAAGGCTAATTCAGGAACTAGAAAGATTAGTGCTTTTCGAATAAGTGCTAAAACTTTTTAAAATAATCACTCGCTCAAAAAATAGTCCCGTTGTTCCGTTTTTTCCACCTTGATTTTTTTCAAGCCATTTTCCTGGACGCGACTATGCAGTCTTCAAAGGCCCATAACTTCCTTCAAAATTAATGTGATGAGAAGCGGTAAAGACTGTTGGAATCCTACTCGAAGAGTACTTCATAACAACTGTGAAATTTTTCCTGAAATTCTTTCTTCTGCCTCAATTTTCCTAGGGGTCTCTAGAACTCAATTCAGCAAATTCGCTACACTTTGTTTCGCTTAGATTTTATTTGAAAGCATCGAAATTTTCAGGAAGTTTGTCTGCTTACGGCCGCTGACAGAGAAGGCGTTTTTATGGGAAAACGCCTGCTCGGGTATACGCCGTGCACCTGTCTGTGGACAGAAGTCGCACTCGCATTTGAAAGTCCTCCATTTTCCTGAAGAAGGTGTTAGTATCGTGACTGAGTTGCATTGTACTGTCATATGGTACTCTTGTTTCACTCCCCATGAACTGCTCTACACTTTGTTCTCCTTGGGATTTCAGGAATGTTCGATCATCGAAGACAGACCATGTTTTTGCACTACGCTGTAACAAAGTTTTTGGCTATTGTAATCTTGATCTATGCTGTCGAGCGAAAGCGCCGTCCGTGTATTAAGGATAATAATGGCTGATAGTGAGACTTATAATGCTCTGCATGCTCTAATGCTCCCATGGAGCTCTTGTCTGTGTGATTCTCCGACAGCTGCACGGTGCAGAGCTCCTGGAGAACATTAGAGCGTGAATGTGCACTGCAGGACACTGCACTTTCCAGGCCGTTTTGCAGCTCCGTCCCTGGATACGACCCCTCCCCTTTCGTTCACCGAATACGACCCCCTCGTTGTTCTGCGCACCGGGCGTGACACTGCTCGGCGCACAGTGATTGGCGACGTGGTTGAGATGAAGAAATGGTTTAGTAGATCTTTGACAGACACGCCAGTCGTCGATCGTCATTTGGACCATGCTACACTTTGGAGGTCAAAACATGGATCGAATTCTGCGCATATTTTCCTCCATTCCAGGACCATGATTAGTGTGGGGCCTATGAGTAGGCCTATCTGGAGTGGAAGAAGCACAGATCATTCATTGACTGTTTCATATTTGTGGCTCATCCTGCTGGTCAAATAGCCACCACTACTGGTTCGAGTGGAAGTCGAATGTGCACGTGCCGCTCCTCCCCTTCATTTATGATTTACCGCAAAAAGAAATCTTGTGAAGTCATAGATGGAATCGCCAGAAAAGATAATATGCCTTCTTATGAAAAGTTTTATATGTTGTCAATCCTAAAGCTTCATGGTCGACTATGCTGTTTTGTGTTTTCATCTGTCCGATATTCCCCCTTTCACGGATTCCGTCGTTGTTCAGCAGTGCTTTCCTTTAGTTCACTTCTTACGTCGTTGATTTTGCTCGTTTTTTACTCAAACCTAACTACTTTATTTGCGTCATCAAATGCCTATGTGCTTTCAGCTGTGTTTTCAGAGAATCGTTCCAGAAATGATGTCCACACTTCGATTGACCAGACTTTTCTCCACGTCACGATCTCTTCAAGTGCCAACGGCTCAGGAGATTTTCGACAGAGAACTCAAGTACGGCTGTCACAACTACAAACCGTTGCCTGTAGCTCTAGCCAAAGGAGAAGGTGAGTTCAGAGTTTCCACCGAGCGAGCCGTCCATCCCTCTGGGGCCGTTTATTTGGTGCCAGATTTGCTGGGGGCATAAAATCGCTGACCTACACTATGATGGTTGGCCTCCACACACTCAAAAGGCTTCTACAATTCTGAATGGAAGTGGAATGCATGGCGTATCCCTTAATGGGATTGATCAACTCCGAATGCTTTATTATTTACCAGTTGGCGCCGTACGCTGTTGCGCGCACAACACGTTTTGTGGTTATTTGGATGGTGCGGCGTTGATTCTTGCATTTGGCCCGCTATACTACGAATGTCTGACTCCTGACAATATGCTAGACTCTATACGCTTGTCTCATGCTCCATAAACCATTGGCTTTTGACCTTCCGTCCTCCTTCAACCAATGTCCGCTTTTTCTCGGTGTCCAGACTGCCTCTATACCGATTTATAAATCTCGTGAAACTCCGTGTATTTCGATGCATATCCCACCCACCTTATCTTCTTCCTCGCCAATCTTTCCCCCTTCTTCCCCGGTCTCTGAACTGTCTGTCTTTTGTGCACGCCCCGCCCACCATCAGAACTTTACTTCCCTCTCTTCGCTGGTTCTATCCACTTTTTTCCCGATTTCTGCAACTTCCTGGAACCGAGTTATAAGCCTTGCAACAAATTCCGCCAAGTTTGGTGAATGCCCTGCCTACCAATAAAAATTGACTTGCTTTTCTTCGCCAACTTCTATCCACTTTTTTTATTAGGCCCTAATAGCAGCGCAAAGTTTGGTCCATTTTCAGGTGTTTTCGTATGGGATGTGGCTGGTAAGAGGTATTTCGACTGTCTCGCTGGCTATTCTGCTGTTAATCAAGGTCACTGTCATCCTCGAATAGTGGCGGTAAGTGACCCTTCTTGATGAAAAAATTGAATTGCTGTTTCTTTATGCGCATTCATTGGAGTGGAGGGACACCGAATTTTCATCTGACTACGCCTTTTCATAGCCGTTGGGAAATCCAGCATAACTTACTTCCATTTTCGCTAGCTGCTCAAGGATATTCACATCCACCCATCTTCTGGCAAATTTCTCATAATGTTTAGGCTGCCGTGAAACAGATGCAGACACTCTCGTTGACATCACGAGCGTTTTATAACAACGTACTTGGCGAGTACGAGGAATTCCTCGTGAAGAAGTTCAAATACGACAAAGCTCTACCGATGAACACCGGTAAGGTGCCCAAGGTTGATCATAAAAGTTATCGAAGCTCATTTAACGGCTAGTCCTCCTTCAGATCAACCACACATTCAGAGTCGAAAATTTCCACTATATATTAGGTTGTCTCATAAATAGTGTCGCTTTTTTTCCAACCGAAAATTTCCATCTAAATCCTCATGCTCATACATCGATCACGTTTGATTTCGTATGCATCACTCGGTTATACCATTCGAAAGAGAATTGTCTGCTCTACAAGATGTTGTGTTCTTCTTCCATCTATGTTCCATGGTTTTCAAATTTAGGCCTGCGAAATGGGAGGTCCCGCCGACAAAAATTGACCAAACCGACAACTAGCTCTAACTTTATTTTCCCTGCGGAGAAATCAATCAATGATGTACCCTCTACTTACTCATGACCTCTTCTGAACATTCCACCCTTAGGTTGCCGAAAAAGGTTTGCCCTGTTTCTTTTCGAAATTGGCCGACCGATAAGCCATGGCAATTTTCAAATTGAAATTCTTCCTCTGAAACGCTATTGTTTTATATCAACTGGTGTATCTTTTGTGAGCACTTCTTCTGCTCTATTCGCTCATTTGTTTTGTTTTTAATGTTTGTTAGGAATTAGCTCGAATTTTAGGTGTTTAGGAGTAAGGTGCTTTATCCACGAAAGTGACCGCATTTCTTTGAAAAAATTATCCTTGAGAAGATGAGAAAATCAACCAGGCGTACATTCCTAACTTAGTCATGACTTGTTCTTTAAATTCTACTAGTTTTTCAATGTCTCGGCTATAAAAAAATTTCGACCTCGATCTCAGGTAATGGTGCTTGACCGTCGAGTTCTGGTTGAAAAACCAGGTCTGGAAATGGAACGACGCGACTTGTTGGGAAACCTAATAGTGTAATGTTCAGAAGAGGTCATGTGTAAGTAGAGGGTACATCATTGATTGATTTCTCCCAAGGGAAGATAAAGTTAGAGATAGTTGTCGGTTTGGTCAATTTTTGTCGGCTGGACCTCCCATTTCGCAGGCCTAAAATTTGAAAACCCTGGAACAGAGGTGGAAGTGGAACATAGCATCTTGTAGAGCAGACAATTCTCTTTCGAATGGTATATGAACGATGTAAAAGCATGAGGATTTAGATGAAAATTTTTGGTTGAAAAAAAGCGACACTACTATTATGAGACAACCTAATAGCGGCTAGCGTGTGTCTGTTGGTGTGTGTGTGTGTATGTTTGACCGGAAATTCATAGCTCGAGTCACAGTAACGATAGCGCAGTGGTTCTTACATATGTTATAGGGGGTGGGATGGGGACACAAGTGGTACGTGATAGGAACTGATAACGACTGATAATAGCTGATAAGAGGGGCTAGAAAGCGAGCATCGCCAATTTCGTTTTGCCGTTCATATTGGTAAAAGAGCGTCTATACTTACAAGTCTTATGTGGGGCGGTCCCGGGACATTGGTGGTACATGATTGGAAGCGATAGCAACTGATAATGGCTGATAAGATGCGCTAGAACGCAAAAGTCGTCGATTCCGTTGCCTGGCTCGCGTTGACACCAGAGCAACCATACTTACAAGTGTTATGTGGGGTGGGACGGGGACATTGTTGGTGGGTGCCAGAAACTGATAACGATTGATAAGGGCCGATAAGGCGCGCCAGAACGCTGAAGTCGTCGATTCCGTTGCCTGGCTCGCGTTGACACCAGAGCAACCATACTTACAAGTTTATGTGGGGTGAGACGGGGACATTCTTGATAAGTGATTGAAAGTGGTTGCAGCTGATAAGGGCCGATGCGCGTCAAAACGCTAAAGTCGTGATCGCGTTACCTAGCTCGCGTTGATACTAGAGCGTTCATATTTACAAGCGTTATTTGGGGGGGGGAGGGGGGGGGGCGGGGATATTGTTGGTGGGTGCCAGAAACTGATAACAATTGATAAGTGCTGATAAGGCGCGTCAGAAAGCAAAAGTCGTCAATTCCGTTACGCAGCGTTGACACTAGAGCGTTCCTACTTACACTCTGTATCGGAGGACGGGAAGAAAATCGGCGGCACACAACACACCGTAAGTGACGGCGGCGATGAAAAAAATTGACAATTGACCACTGACGAGGATAATCAGTAGAATACAACAGCGATCGATCGATGTCCTCGTCAGTGGTCAATTGTCAATTTTTTTCATCGCCGCCGTCACTTACGGTGTGTTGTGTGCCGCCGATTTTCTTCCCGTCCTCCGATACAGAGTGTACAATTGTGTGTAAGTCGTACGTAGTACAAACAAAGGTACGTGCACATTGTTTCGATATATATCCAGCTTACTTAATAGAATTCGACTGCATAAACTTTAAAAAACAAGTCTTTCGCAAATGATAAGTTTCATTTCTGCGCCGGATTAGAAACGCCAGGAGATCGAGGTGGAACGGCTAATACCTTTGTGGTTTTGATATCTTTTAAATAATGACTGGATGTAACGAATGAATAAGCATCCGTGGTTGGGGGGCTCCTCGACTTTGGTAAATAGGCATTCGTTCGTGATTCTGATACTGACAAAGCTATCCGGTGTATTTGCTACTGCGAGCAGTTATCCCGAGTTGCAAGGAGGAATAGATGGATGTTTGACATTTGTGTTAGGAGACACTCAGTTCAGCTCCAGACTGTAGTCAGCGCGGGGGTTGGTGATGCTCATATGATGGCGTGTTTGCAGCGATGACGGTGGAGGGTGTCTAATCACAGGCAGTAGTGAGATGGCGAGGTGGGTAGTACTATGCTGGAGGATGCCTATGGTCCTCCTCAATTTCGCTTAAAGCCTGCCGTTGTGATGGGCACGATTAGCGGGCGGAAGGCAAAGATCTGGTTAGATTGTAATAAGGGAAAGCGAGACACATTTTCCTAGCAACTAATTAATCCTCTGGCCATTAGATCAGCGTTATGCTTATTCAAAGCGGGACAAAGAATATGAGAAGCCAGGCAGGTGTCGGGATACCTCTTCTTGAAGCGGTCGTTCTCTTAATCTCCTGAAGTAGTACATTATTTATTTTACGTTAATGGGCTGCATTCAAGAAGCGCCTCACTAAGGAGATCTCCTTAGCGATCACGCGCAAGTTTCTTCTTGGTACAGGAAATAGATTTTATTTGTTAATGCTGTTACACGCTGCGATTCATGATGCAAAAGCTTCAAAAGTCCCTTAGTTCGAGGAGACGAAATGCTTTGCCCATGAAACTGCATCCTTATGAAGGAAAATTGAAGTTGGAATGTAGAATTTCTAAACGCTTTTTCAAATTTAGGCGTGGAAGCAGCCGAATCGGCAGTGAAGCTCGCTCGCCGTTGGGCTTACGATGTGAAGAAGGTTCCCAATAACAAAGCGAAGGTGAGCACGTGCGCGGTCACCAGCAGATTCTGTGGCAGCGAATTTCCTAAGGGTATTAACTAGTGTTTTACATTATTAAGCTTGAGGTGAATTACAGATCAGGACCTCTACGTCTTTTCACAGTCTTAAGACACAAGGAGGAGTTTGAACTATATCAAAAATTCTACTGTACATTTGAATTTCTGAAGTTTTCAAACACCATCCCTTTGAAATCCGAGATTTCTTTCCAAACTTCCACTTCTAATTCCAACAATACATGATCATAAAGCTTAAAGGCAAAAGTCGGGCTCAATAAGGGGGTATTATGGCGAATGAAA